TATATCCTCAGACCCCCTGTATCCCAGACCCCTTGGTGTCCCCTGCTAGGCCCCCACTTTCCTGTACACCGCCCGGAGCCTCCCCTAGTAATCCCAGTTGCCCCCCCAGTCCAATCCTCCCAGATTTTCCTCCCTGTCCTCTGTGTCCTCAGGCTCCTGCACCATTCCTCTATTGTCACCAGGTCGCCCAGTGTCCCCAGAACCGCAGTCCCTCCTGCTACCCCCAAACCCCTACCCCAGACTACCCAGTATCCCCCATATGCCTGGGGCCCCCCAGTTTCCCCTGTAACCCCCTCAGCATCCCCAATGTCCCCAACTCCCCAGTGCCACCTGGTACCCCCAGCACCCCCACAGTGTCACCAACCTCTCCCACATCCCCCAGTGCCCCAGCCTCTGGGTGCTGTGCCCCCGTGTCCCTGTGCCCATCAGCCCCCTGATGCCTGCAGGGTCTCCGGGCGCCATGTGCCCCTGCAGCCTGGGCACCTGGGTGCGTGCCCAGGGTGACACCTACCAGGTGGTGGCTGACGTCAGCCAGTTCGAGCCCCCCGACATCGTGGTGACCACCTCCAACTGCCACGTCGCTATCCAGGCTGAGAAGGTGAGGGACCCCAGGGGGGCAACATCCCCCACTCTGACCATGGAGCAATGGGGGTCCTTGCCCCACAGTACCCTGTCCTGCAGTGGAGCGGGGGCAGTAACTGGGAGCTGTCCTGACTGAGGCAACTGGGGACTCCTGCCCTGTTGCGTTCTCTGCTGGTGGGAAGCAGCTGGGAACAGTCCCTGCTGGCACTGGGTCAACTGGAATTTGCCCCCTTCCCTTCTCAAGACTGAGGCAACCGGGAGCTGCTCCCTACTGGCAATGGGGTAACTGGGAATAGCTCCTGAGTCACTGAGTAACTGGGAACTGCCCTGTTGAGCTCCCTACTGGAGCTGAGGTGACTGGGAGCTGCCCAATCACTAGCACTGGGGTAACTGGGAATGTGTTGTGCACCACTGCGCTGCGCCATGCCATGCCTCACTGTGCTGGCACTGCCTCCCCACAGGTGGCCGAGGATGGCACCGTCTGCGACACCTTCACCCACAAGTGCCAGCTGCCCGAGGACACAGACCCGCTGTCGGTGAGCTGTGCCCTCACTGAGGCCGGCATGTTGGTCATCACCGCCCGGCGCCGTGCCGGTGCCCGCCCCGGGGAGCCCCCGCAGCTGCTGTACCGCAGTGAGGCCAGGCTGTGAGCCACCACCGGGTAAAGAAAGGCTTTGTGCCCCAAGTGATGCCAACCCCAGCGCCGTGGTGAGGCTCAGCCGGTACCCACTGGCTGTGCCCCCTCCCCACCTCAAGCCCCTCGGTGCTCTGGCTCTGTTTATAAAGTCCTTTTATTAAATTAATATAAAAATCTCTGTATTTACATGGGGAGGGGTGCACAGCGG